CCCTTTTTTGCCCCCCCCCCCCCCCAGTTCATATTTTGAAGCCCTAATCTCCAATGTGATGATATTAGGAGGTGGGGCCTTGGAAGGTAATTAGGTTAAGATAAGGTCATAAGGGCAGAGACTCTATTACAGTATTAGTGCTCTTAGAGAGTTTGGGTGCTTTCTGTCTCTGTCTTTTTCTCTGTCTGCAATGTGAGAACACAACAAGAAGGTGGCCATCTGCAAATTATTAAGAGGGCCCCCACCAGACATGGAGTCTGCCAGTACCTTAATCTTGGACTTCCCACCTCCAGAGCTGTGTAATAAATGTTTGTTGTTTAAGTCATCAAGTCTATGGTATAGGAGGTTATAGGAGACCAAACTGAGTAAGACACCTACCTAAACAGAACCACCCTATAGTGAATCCTTAAGAACACAGAAATATATATATATATTTTTTTTCAAAGAAACATCTAATTTATCTTTAAAATTTTTTTACCATCAGAAATTTTGAAAGAAGACATTCATCTATATTCTTAGGGGTCTTAGAATAGATTTTTAACATATTGTTTGAAATTTTAGTTTCAATCACTTCCCATATAAAATGGGAATAAAAATAAAATCCTCCTCAACCCATTTATTGGAGAAGATTTAAGACATGGCCATCTCTCTGCCTTGGGCATTAACAGCTGGCTGCCCAAACTTTTTATTTCCTGCATCTAAAGAGTAATAGAAAATATCAGCTCATAATGATTGCCAGACTCAACCCAAAGTCCTGATGTGAGTAAATTCTCAGGAGGAGTAAAATTTTGGCTTATCTACAGTAACAGTCCAAAGGATGAGACATATCAACAGCCCCATTATCTGTAGAATTATCTACATGACTCCCAGAACTTGTTTAATCAGAATTATTTGCATTCAGAAAGGAAGAAAAGTTTTCCTTTTCTTATATACTGCTTTCAATAATTTAATTCCTGGAAGCTCCACAGTAAGTTTCTGAAATTTTTAAGAGCACCAGTGTTATGAAAGCTACCATGATAAACAAATTCCTTCTTGTTTTAACATGTGCCAAATGCCACCATTACATGCACAAGTTGTAAACCCATGCAATCACTAAGCCAATGGAGTTCTCTCTAAAACAGAAGCTCAGTTTACCAAATCCTGCAATTGTTATTGTATCTTTCAGATTTTACTAGTACACTTTGATATGTCTGCACAACCTAGTGTCACTGCTCTGTGCTGAGCACTGAGATTGCTGACCAGGCGGCAGGAACAATTGCTGTGGCTCTGCTCTACCCTGGCTTGCCTTGAGGGCTTTGCTGACACAACTTCCAGCATGAAGTTTGCCCCTCTAGAGGCATAGATTAGAAAGACAAACAAATAATTGTAACAGATTTTAGAGGTAGATCTGATGTGGGATGGGATGTGGTGCTTTGGAACTATAGAATAGAAGACAGATCAACCAATACTGCTGGTGATTAAGAGCCCATAGTCCTAACTCTGTTTCTGCGTAGTGAGTCCTTTCCTTTTAACTTTTGCTTCCACCCATACAAAACTGGACAGTGGTACAGTCCTCTTATTGTGTCTGACATGGTGAAGAAATAAATAGTTGACATGGTTACATACTACGTTCATTTCTTCATTTTTTTTCACTAAAAAAATAATTAAGACAGCCTCTCAATTATCAGGTACAATGAACACTTCATAGTATTATAAATAGTGATTAGAAAGTATTTTTATTTGATTTTTTTGCAGAACATGGTTTATATTCATTGTGCTAAATTTTTCTTTACTGGCTGTATAGCACTCCAGCTTTGGGGTGTGGTCCTGCTGAAAAAAGTTCTTGCTTGTCTGTGGCTACTTCCTAGGTAACTTGTTAGCTCAAGGATTGAGGCCACTGCTGTTTCAAATATGTGCTCTGGTGTAAAGCATCAAGGGGACAGAAATAGTATTTATTTATTAGGTTCCAATTCTTGATCAGATACAGTCCTTAAGTTTTTCATAATGTCATTTTAATTATTTTAATAATGTTACGAGGTTGGTATCATGATTCTTGTTTCATAGATAAGGAAACTGGAGTACAGGGTCTTACAGGTAGAGTTAAATTCAAACCCAAGGCTGTCTGATTCAGAAGCCCATGGGCTTAAAGCCAGTGTTTCTTCAGACAAAAAAAAAAAAAGTGATTTAGGAAGAACAGGTAAAAGAATCTTAATTAGGTCTATGGAGTGTATTTTCTGGGTTTTTTAGCCCTCCTAGAAAACAATATTTGCTTGTCTGTATTTTGGTTTTGGTTTTTCTTTTCCCCCTCCCTTAATCCAGTTTGTACTAGGAACAAAACAGAAATGGAGAGGTGACAACAACTAGTAGCCAGAGAGTTACAAAAGCCCAGAGACCCTTCTGCTCATTGTGCCATCTCAGCCCCAAGTGCATTACTCCATGAAGCTCCCAGGAACTCCCAACATTAGGTCAGGATCTCATAGTCACACTGAAGGCAGATGATAGACAGAGTGTGTAAAGATTCTAGCTGGTCCAAGAATCTGACCTCTACTGGCTCTCACAGTATCTTGGAAGGAACTAGTAAGAAGGTAGACTCCACCATGGACTGTCGAAGCTCAGCTCTGTCATCAAGAGACTATACCAATACTTCCAAACTACAAATGGGTCATAAAATCAATTTTGTGTGTTTTTACCAGTATTTAAAAATATAATGGAATGAAATAAAATAGGATAGATTTCTTTTTTTTTTTTTTTTTTTTTTTTTTTTTTTTTTTT